CAGCAGGTTGAGGCTGTAGGGGCTGTGAGTGTGCCATTTCACTCCAGCTTAGATGACAGAGTGAGACTCTAACTCAAAAATACAAACAAGCCGGGCTCGGTGGCTCAGCCTGTAATCCCGTGGCTTTGGGAGGCTGAGGTAAGTGGATTGCCTGAGCCCGCGGATTCGAGACCCACCTGGGCAACTTGGCGAGACCTCATCTCTACAATAAATCAAAAAATTAGCCAGGCGTGGTAGCGCGCACCTGTAGTTCCAGCTACTTGGAAGACTGGGATGGAAGCATCGCCGGAGCCCAGCAGGCGAGGCTGCAGTGGCCGGGAGCGGCCACTGCACTCCAGTCTGGGCAACCGAGTGAGACCTCAACTCAAAAAAATAAATAAATAAAAATAAAATAAAATAAAATATTTTATTATTAGTGGACAGAAACCCAACTGATTTTGCATATTGATTATGTTTTCTGAAGTTTTACTGAAATTGTTTATTAGTTCTAACAATTTTTGGGTGGGGATTTAGGGTTTTCTCCATACAAGATTATGTCATCTGCAAACAGAGACATTTTAACTGTTTTTTCCATTTTGGATGGATTTTATTTATTTTTTTGACCAATTACTCTAACTAGGACTTATAATATTATGTTGAATAGAATGGTAAGTGTGGGCATCCTTGTCTTGTTCCTGATCTTATAGAAAAAGCTTTCAGTTTTTCATTACTGAACACAATGGTGGTTGTGATGGGCTTGTCATACATGGCCTTTATTATGTTGCATATATTCCATCTACGCCTAATTTGTTTAAAGTTTTTTATTATGAGAGGGTGTTAAACTTTGTGAAATTTTTTTTTCTGCATATATTGAGGTGGTCATATGATTTTTATCATTCACTCTGCTTTTGTGGTATATGAGGTGTGACAATTAAGTTCATGAACTTATCCTAGAAAAAGTACTGCATACCTCATTGCTGAATACCACTATGGTCACCCTTTGAAGTACTCCCCTTGGGAAGCTATGCATTGATGCCAGTGCCTAATCCACCTGTCAAAGCAATTTCAGACTGTTTTTCTGTAATGGCCATCAAAGCTGTCGTCATATTTCCCTTGATGTCCTGAATGTCATCAAAATGTCTTCTCAATATTTTCTGTATCTTCTGGTAAAGACAAAAAGTCATTGGGGGCTAGATCAGGTGAGTAAAGAGGGTGTTCCAATACAGTTAGTTGCTTACTGGTTAAAAACTCCCTCACA